GTATAAGTAACTCTAATTTCAATGTTGAACTTTTTTAATTTTTTTTATTTAGACATATAATATTCTGTCACGGGGACAATAATCATATTGATAAATGAACACATTCACACCGTATATACAAAAAAATAAAAATAAAATTAACAAAAGTAAAATAATAACTAAATAATAATAAATAAAAACTATATACAATAAAAAATAAAATAACCTAAATATAAGTAAATTAAAAATATAAAAATACAGTCATACCTATATACACTACTGTTGAACTAAAGAATAAAAAAATAATTATTTGAAAAAATTAATATTGATTTGAGTTAAGGTTTTAATACCATAAATTATTAAGCGTTTGAAGTTAATAATCAATAAGCTTATGACAAAAGTTAATAATCATAAAAAATAAAATAAAGAATTTTGACATTGTTATTTTTTAATTTATCGATGAGAAGTATATACAAATTATTTTGAGAGTATAGTTCAAAGAGAAGTATAGTTCATTAAATTTTAAACCAATCTATAAGTTGTATATCAGGTTTGATTGATTCTTTGAAGTTATCTTGACATTTATGGCATACCCATTTTTCATCTTTTTTACACCCACAATACAATTTTCTCGTTAATCATTTTAGTAATTATGATAATTATGGCACTAACGAACAACGGTATAGATAAAAGAAAGAGGTACCAGTTGAAACAATAATAAATAAAAGTAATACATTTTAAAAATCCTATATTTAAAAAACCAAAAAAAGTTTTATGCAAACTTTTATCCATTTATACAGTTCATATAAACTCTACTGTAAAATTAAGTTATTAATATTATCTGGTCCATAATAATAATAATGCCGTTGAGTGAGAGGCGTTGGGATCTCCTGAAGTCCTGCATTTTTTTCCACTATTGGGAAGAAAGGTTTGGCTTGGGGTTTCCCTGAGTGACTGAATTATGTATATATTGTATAAAAGTATATTTGTATTTAAGTTGTTATTTTGATTAGTTTATGTACATTTAATTTAAGTTATATTATTTTAATGTTTTATTCATTGTACATAGAGTGTGATTAGGCTCTCTGAACACTGTTATAAATGTCCTTTGAGACTGATAGTAATATTTCTCAATATTCAAGTTCAAAATGAGAAAAAAAATTGCAACATATTCTATCTAGATTTTAAGAAATAGTCATATATAGTGCCACCATTGGCCATTTTTAATCTCTCTAATATCGATTCAAAAGATTTGTCTAAACTTGAAAAAAAAGAACTTTTTTTGTAACGTGCTCTTAATATCTAATAGGCTTTTCTTTAAATTATTGCAAAATCTAGTATTTTTGTTATTAGTTTTATTAGATATATACTTCTTGTCATATGTATCGTGTTTTTTTATTTTATGGAAATACCTGAAAAATCAAGAATAAAGTTAATCAAAAATATATTGAACGGAGAACTGGAAACGAAGGAAAGGCGACAAATATATATATTATCTTTAATTTAATATATTCATTAAGGGAAATTTTATTTTACATATATATTAATTAAATGACTCTACTGATTTACTTGGCGGACCTTTTTTTTTTTTTGACCCATTAATTTTCTATGTGAAAATGAGCTTAAATATTTTTCAATCAATAACTAAATATGACATTACTAATTACTGGATTACATTGTAAATATTTAAATGATATTTGAGTACTTTGGTCCATCATGAGTTTTTGGACCCTAATGATTTATCAGAATTGGTAAAAAAATTAATCAGTAAAGTAAACATTGGTGAAGTGGAAAGTACTCATCAGCAGTTCATGACGTTAATTTTTTTATTTACTAGCGATTTTGAAATTTGAAATCGTTTCTATGTCACTTGATCTGAGAATCATTATCTTAATTTTTCGTTACTTTCCTATTATAAAATTTTCATAAAAAAAAAAATTGAACTATAAAAAAACTAGTAGCAATTTTTTAAATCTCTAAAATTTATGTAATTTTTTTATAATTACTTAGAACAAATCTGTCTAGGATTTATCATTTTATTTTTATGTGTGTGGGAAAAATAGCATTACTCAAATATTTCTAGAGAATTTTTAATTATTTTATAAACATTGTACGAAATTGTTGGAACTTAAAAAAAATTACTATAACCTTGAAAGCTCTCTTCAAAAAAACAATTTTTATTTTCCTTTCTCGCATATAATAAAAATACTAATTAATTAGAATATTGAATATTATTAAAATTTATAGGTAAATGAAAGTGAAAATTAAATCATTCTCTAGAAAATTTTTAGTCATGAGATTTCCACTTACCAGGAATAATAGGATATTTCTTTAAAATGACCGGTGCCGCTATGTTTATTTTTTTTTTTATCAATGAAAAATGAAAAAAATATAAATAGTATTATTACAATGATATAGAAAGAAAACGTTCGTGCTGTTGTCTGAAACAATTATTATAAAATTAAAAAATATATACCTTGATGTAGTTTATTATATTAATGAATAAAAATTAATTAATTATCTTACTAAGTTAATTAATATCATAAGATAATAATAATAATAACATGATTGTTTCATATATTAGTCGCTTTTACGGATTAACAAATACAAGAGGCATTTCACGTTTCAATGATTATACAAATTATACAAGAACTAGCTATTTGAATTGATAAGCAATATATATTTAAATTAAATTGCTAAATGCATTTTCATACCCTTTTAGATTTAAATTAAATAGTGTTAAAATGTCATGAAGCCCACTACAACAACAAACACTAATTGAAAACATAATTATATACTCCTGAGATAAAAATAATAAGTTTGGTCTAAATAATTGAGAAACTAAGAAGCCAAGCAGGGCAAATGACAATTTAATAATTTTTAATGAAATTACGATTTGCGGCAAAAGATTGTAAATCTGGAAGGAAGATTACGTGATCAATTTTTATTATGGTTGAAAAACACGTCCATTGAGGAGGAGCTTTATGTCGTCATTCAGAGCAAAATGCAAGCCTAAAAGAAATTGAAAAATCATATAATTCAGTTAACCCAAAAACAAAGAAAAGCTACAGAGGAATCGGCAGAGAAAACTCATATCTGTAAAATAGCTAAAACCGAGCAGAGAAATAAAATAATTAGGATTGTAGATCCAGCTATACAATGTAGCGGTTGTGGTTACCAGAAACATAAGCAGGGACGTAAATGTCCAGCAAGAGAACACACGTGTAGGATTAGCAATTCTTATGTTCATTGGAAATGAATTGTTTAAAATCTGGTAAAATTAAACAAAATAAAAACAAGGCAAAAATAAAATCGGTAAGTACTGTGAGTTCAGATAACACTACGGATAGCGAATATGAAGTCGACACCGTACTAGACGTCAACGCGATTACTCCAGATTATTCTAGGTCCGTTATCAAGGTTAAATTAAGTATGTCACAGCTACTGCACGTAGGAGAGAACTTATGGAATGATATAGGAAAGTCGCCATAAAAAACGACCAGTAATTTAAAGACTTATCCAAACTCCTCATTGATTTTTTTGGGGGAGTGCTCGGTGTTCGTGTTACTTTTTCAAAGCGGCATTGGAACAGTGAAGGGATTTAAAGTCAAAATTCAGCTACGCTATGGAGTAACACCGAAACTCTTTAAAGCTCGAAGTGTTCCGTTTGCTTTAAAAAAAGATGCTATTACGAAATAGACCGGCTTATTCTTGAAAAAATGGATCCATTAACGACAATGGTAGATTGGGCATCGCCATTAGTTTTTGTGCGAATGGGATGGTGAGATTATGTGGTGATTTCAGAGTTACCATTAATCCTCATATGATTGCAAATCTCCACCTCTGTCCAAAATTTGAGGAAATAGTTCACAAACTTAGTGGGTTCCAAGAATTTTCCGTCATCGACCTTAAAGACGCTTATTTACTGATGGAAGTAACCGAAGAGTAAAAAAAAAATATCTGGTTATTGCTTCACATCGAAAATATTTCAGGCATAAAAGAATACCGTTCGGTATAAGAGCGACCCCATCAATATTTCCTGGGTATATGAATAAAATTTTGCAAGGCATGGAAGGGGTAGCCAGTTTTCTAGACGATATAGCCACAGGAAGAAAATCTTGAGAAGAACATTTACGAGCTTGGTTTTAGAAAGATTATAATTGGTGGGGTTGAAAACAAAGTAAGACTGTTCGAAAAATAAATTAAATACCTTGGCCACAGAATTAATATTAACGAAATTCAACCGTCTCATGAAGGGATTACGGCTCTAAATGAAATAGCATCTCCAAAGAATGTTAAAGAACTGCTTCTCTATTAGGATCTCTAATTTACTATTCAAGGTTTATCCCGGATTTGCTTGAAAGATGCGATCGTCTGCACAAATTATTACAGAAGGTTTCAAAGTGGAAATGGGCTTCTGTGGAAGAACAAATTATTTCGAGCATAAAATAAAGTATTACTACAGATAAAACATTGGTACATTATGACGTGACATTACCATTAATACTATTAACTGATGCTTCAAAAAAGGTTGTAGTGGTATTGTTACAATATGATACCCCAACCGAACACTTATACCGGTCTCCGCCGCTTCTACGACTCTCAGCAAAAGCGAAAGCAAATTTTCCACCCCTGAACGCAAAGATTTGGCCAATGTTATATTTTATCTGATGATTTACTAACAATAGTTTTAATAAAATACACTTGGCTTCTTACTACATCAGATAATACCATATGAAGATATTTTTCATTATTTTTTTTTTTTAAATATTGAAATTGCAAATATATTTCTTCCTCAGTTTTTTTTACACCTATTCACTCTGAATATACAAACGAAAAACAATAAAACTTGAGAATATAAATAATTTATTATAATATTTTTTACCAGGACCGCTTATTTCCAGAAAGTCATTTTATTAATTTAAATTATCTATTTTAATTATTAATGTAATTTAGTTGATTAAGACTGATTTAAGTAGTTTACTTGGCAACGTTATCTTCATTAATTGAAAGTTAAGTGATGAAGAGTTTTATATCAAAACTGAATTGATGATAAGTGGTGGTAGATATATAAGAAGAATTTGCAAACAGAATTCATTATCACACCAAAATCCAAGACTGAAAAATGAAGTAAGCTGTTTCTCGTTTTGTGAACTTTTTTTTTATTATGTTTATTTAATAGTTTATTTAAGAATAAAATATTGAAATTTTTAGATAGCCATTTTGACTGTTGTATGACTTTAAAATTTGTAATTTTTTCTTTTTCTTTTTAATAGTAAAGCATTTTTGGTGGTTTTCCTTTTCGTGGGTCTAGCTGCCCTGTGCTGGGCAAGTACTGACTGCCCACCAAACGTTTGCTCCACTACCAAGTGCCCAAGTTACATCACCGAGGACTATTGCCACATGAGAAAGATGTTTTATGTTCCTCATGGTTGGCCCTGCGGCTGCTGTCCGAGATGTCGTATACGCTACTAGCCAATCAAAGGTGATTTTAAAATGACAAGATTCGTACTTTTGTATCTAGTTAGCTGATTATAATATTAATGATAATATGTATATATATATATATATATATATATATATATATATAATATATATATATATATATATATATATATATATATATATATATATATATATATATATATGAAACTTACTTTTACCATTTTCATTTTCTATCTCTGGAACATTGATTATAAGACATGACTACTGGTCTTATGCTTTGAATTCACAACTATATTGAATTTTATGTCTATATTGTAATTTGTATTTATGTTATATATAATAATGATGTAGAGTTATATATACTAGTTTGAAATACTATTAACACTAAGACCAGAGGTTGAAACTTTGATGAACGTTTCTAAAACGTTCTACATTAATAGATTCATGTGAAATTTTAGCAAAAATCAATTTTGATATAAACGTTTTAAGCCGAATTTTAGTAAGAAAGTTTTAAATATATAGTTGAAATTTTATTTTGATTTATTTAAGTTCCTAATATAAACAGTACTTCTGGACTTAGATTAGAATTATAAATTATTTTAAATGAATTAATTGATTCTAACGTGTCATTCGTTAGAATAGCTGAGAATAAAAGTAATTTTTTTTATTGACTTTTTTGCCAAAGCATATAAATAGATGTAGAAATATAAATAAAATCTCCATTTGTAAAATGCAAGAGAAAAAAGTTAGTTTTTCGAAATAACAGGAAAAATAAAAAAAATTTCAGTCATATCAAAACTGATAAAAAATAATTTATTTTAAATTTTAAAAATTAAAATTTCATTTCAATTTCTATGAAATACTAATGTAGCGTAAAAGTTGGAAGTATCTTTTTTTCACAATAACATTGTTGAATTGACGTTTCGTATTATTCCATTTTCAGGGTTTTTCCTATGATAAAGAATAGAGCAAAACACAAATAATCATAAAAGGATCAATACAATTTAAAATATGCATACCAACAGAAATGCAAAGATACAATATCAACAACACTTAATAATGGGAACGTAACATTTATTTACATTAAAAAAAACAAAAAAAAACAATATTACTACCCTAGAATCGTTATTGCAATATAATTTTTTTCCATGAATTTTTGACATGGAAAAACCATATGCGGACTCGCGGATTTAGTGTTGCCCAAAATCGGTCATGGTCTTGTGCTTTGCAAGACCAAGACCAAGACCAATTAACTGTTGCAGGACCAAGAACAAGACGGGTAAAAAAAAAAATCGATTTTTAAATAAAAATCAAAGCAAAATCGTGACTAATACTTGACAATTTTAGTTACTCTACTTAATGAAATGATTTAACCAATATACTTTTGTATTTAACTTTTCTAATATTTCATTGGGGCTTAGGTTTCTCCTATCAAACAATTACAGTAATATTTCTATAATAATAAGCTAATAGGTAACTGCAAGACTGTTACCAAGACCTCGCGTAAGACCAAGAACAAGAACAAGACTGAGTGCGCAAGACCAAGACTCCTCTAGGTCTTGCATTTGTGCAACACTACGCGGATTCATCGTGGGAAGGAAGGCTTGCGAGCTTCAGCCCCAAAGGGCAGAAATAATTCTTTTTAAAGAGATCATCTTTTTTTCTGTGAGCGATCTGAGATATATGCCTTAACAATCACAATATATACTTTTTAAAAATTGTAACGCATATGTATCAGCTCCTAAAAGTAAGCACGTGTCAAGAAGAAAGTATAATAAAATGATCCCTAAATGCACTTATGTGCGATTCGCAGCAATCGCCATTTTTTTAAACAGGTTTTCAAGGAACTCTTAAAATATTGTATATAATTTTAATTTCCTTCCAATGAAGTTACTGCTAAAAAAAAAAAAATAAATCCCAAATCTTCCTAAATTAAATCCTGAATTCGGTGCTGCATTTGCGTGTAATATTTTGCCAATTGTAACCAATAAGTTGTTTCCCGATATATCCTTCTAAGGAATAAGGTATATCGGCTCAATATTTTTGTCATCAAATATTATAAAAAGGTTAAACCTTGTACTGATCTTTTATCTTTATACATACCATCCACATATTTATCTATTTATTTCATAATTTACTCTTCTTCTTCTTTTTTTTTTTTTTTTTATGGTATGGGAGGAGAGGCAGAGGATTCTTCCATTTTGTACGATTAAATTATTATAAATAATTTGTTTTATACCTAATCCATATATAATGCCCTTTTAAATTTACCACATCTGTCATGAACTTTATTGCATTTTTTTTTCTAATCAAAAATTATTTTATTTACATATATAAATATATATATATATACAACATAATAAGTAATAATAATGATTACACGCCTATGGCAAAATTATTGCATTATTTATATATTTTTTTATTTGATAGTGGTGAACATATGAAAATAATATATTAGTACAAGATATAACGTTTGATAACATAAACAGTGTGTAAATTTTGATTATTTTCTACAATAATACAATAAACAACAAATTTTTAGTCATTTATGAAAAATTATTATGTACAGACCATGAGAAAAATTAAAAAAAAAATTCGTGAAATAATAGTACTGTATACCTTAATGTTTTATATTTTAAATGGTGTCGATGAATTTGTGAATAATTTAAAATGTTTTGTTCTAATAATTTTATTAGCTGGAACCATGAATATGGTTTAGTATACCAATTATTTTTATTTTGAATAGATTAAAAAATATATTAGAAATAAATAGTTTTGAATATTGAATTAATGACAAAGGAGTGATAGTAATTTTGATGAAAACTAAATTGAGGTTAACTAATTGTAAGGTGTACTAATACTAATTTTTTAAGGTTTTCTTAAACCAAGCATATCAGTCCATCCATTAAATCGAGCTGAGTGAATTTCAATGTTAGATTAACGATCGGACGTGGCTGGACGGGTTGCTGTATTTGGTCTGAGCGTTCCCTTAAGTGATTACTTAAGACTTAAATAAATTGTAAACAAGTTAATATTACTACTGTATTTGTATGTATCCATATTACTGTGGCCTAATTATTACATTTTTTTGTTTACAGCCACCATCTTCGACAACCCCCTCAAGAAGAAGGAATATTCTGCATTATAAAAAAAATAATTATGAAACAATACTTTATTTCCATAAAAATCATAGTTTTAAATACATTTTTCAGTAATAAATCTTTTTTTACCTTTGTCACTTTTGGAAACCTATACATATATCTCATCAAAAAAATCTAAACTAATCAGAGGAATAATATCCTTGGCGCTGGGATTAAAAAAAATGGAAGTTGAACTTGGACAGGATGTATTTCGTGCGCAATCTCTAACGTTGCAATTGCAATTTAATTTTGTAATAAAAAGGCCCCAATCACTACTAATGTTTTTACAGTCATACATACTGGTCGATTACATGGTATTATCTTATAAAATTTCAAGTTTCAAGACCTACTTCCGGAGGTACGGATACCTGACATTCCGTACATACTTTTTTGTTAAAAAAAAAAGTCATTATTCAGTTGGTTTTTTTTTACAAGGAGGATACTCTTTGAGGTAGACTCCCAAATACACCATAAAATGTATTTACAATTTGACAAAAAAAATCAAGGAAGATATTAGGATCTCTTAAATTTCTTTCCTTTTTTTTTTGATGCGAAGAAAAAATATTTTAAAAGAGAATTTGTCTTCAACGAAACGTACTTTGAAAGAGCTGTGAGGCGATTGGAATCGATTCCATAAATGGGCTTATAGATAAGGCTTAATGCTTACAAACAGCCGGCTCGAGATCTAACATAGCGTGGCGCGGAAAGAACTTATCGGACACCCTAATATTATAGAGCGAGGCCACATTGGTAATGTATGTTAGACTCTGGGATTTATATCTTTGGATAGCTAAAATTTATTTTGTGACAGGGTAAATTTACGAGTATACAAAAAAAAATCTTCTAGGTGAAATCGGTTTGTAATTAACTCCAGTCGAAGCGAGATGTTATTCCAGCTTTCATATCAGTAGCAATATTTTAAATATTTTCAGTGATTTGAGAATCAAAAGTTTAAGAGGCAGTTAAAAACATCTTTACTATTTAACCTATTTGTGATTGTTCGAAAAAGAATTAGATGTAGCTTTAATATCGAAAATATAAACAATTGGTTTATCTATGTAGACACTTTACATAATTATATAATCATTATTAAATATACTTATCGAGTGGTACACTGATGTAACCGCTAATTATACAATTTTATAGGAGAGACTAACTAACAAGAATTATTATTATACAAAAAAGATAATTTTTTGTAATTTACAGTATTGGTGTATCCTTTCAAAATTTGCTTATAGTATATGGCGTCAGTATGATTGAACACATCTTTCTGACAATTTAAGGAGATAAAATATCTTTTCCAAAATTCCAAAAACAGTTCATTCGCTGTTTCTCCAGAAGAGCGTTATATATAAATTCATAATTAGTAATATTCTGTCATCAGGTGTTAGGTCTAAACCATTTCATTTGCTTTGATGTTTAGAAGAGAGACGTATGTAGGTAACTAAAGCTAGTTTTATAGGTATTGAACCTTGGTTTGCTAAGCCTTATTATTATTGCAACCTGATCAGACACTTCAATTATAAGTAATTATCTAAATTATAACTTAGCGATACTTTTTTTTTAGTGCCGTTATAGAAAAAAAAAAAGTAGCGCATTTAAACCACGTTGATCTCTATTAAAATCTGGAATGGCTGTAGGAGGTCCATTTGCATACTTATTGCCACTGTTTAACTGAATGCAGAATTCATGCAAGTGCTAACAGAAAGCCATCGTGCCGTGCCGCTTATCTCTCCAATATTAAGTGGCATCAATTTAAACATTAACCAGCAGGTTGGAGGGTGGCAATGACCTTAGCCATATATACAAGTAGCTGGTCATTCACCCTTCTCTGATCGCTTTATAATGTCAGATTTTTCATTGTCCGTATGGATCTGAGCACGTAAGCTTTTGGGGGTTAACAGAAATTATGCTTAATGCATTTTTTTTTGTTGACCCTTATGACTCGTTGCAATCATACAACTTTTGTATTATAATCAATCTAAGCAGTTGATGGATGAATTTCGGGTTGGAAAGGAATATAAAAATTAGTTAAATAATTTTTTAAAAAATATTATTGTTCATTTCTTGACGTCGAATGCCAAAGGTAATAATTTTTTTTTACGAATTCATTATTTAATGCTGGATCAGTTATGTTACTGATACTATTAACCGATTAAAGTGTTTTATTTATTTGTCAACGTTTTGGCGAAATGACGTGAACAATTATCCATGATTATTTTCTCCTGTTCATTACCGATGTGTTTCATTAATTGATATATGTTTCTTAATGATTAAGTTTAATGGTTATTTATTTATTTTAATGAAGTTGTGCTTCAGAGAATAGGGATGAAAATTGAAGAGTTTCTTCTGATGATAAAATTATTATTCTGATATATGTTCAAAATATATAATATTTGTTATTCTATTTTTATTATGTCAACAAATTAATATTAATAATAAATAGAAACCTCTATACGAGCTGTATTTTTTTTCCAAAATACATTTCACATAAAAGTATAATTTCAATATTTTCAAATAAAAGTATCCCTAAATATATCTAAATGTCATCAAGGATCAACTCGTACGAAATGTCTTTATTGTGGTTCCTAATGAAATGAAAATGACCGTATTCAAATAAATTCCATAAACATCACTTAAGAAATTGAAAAGAAAACATAAGATTAGTCAAGATTTAAAAACTGAAATACAAAATTATATCTTTGCAATTCAACTTTAATAATTTTACCAAGATTTAATCAATTTTTGACTGTTCAATTAAATTTAATCCAATAATTGAAATTGATAACTTCAGCCGTTAATTTATTTTTCATCATTCTTATTACAAATTGCTACTAAATCCTGAGGTGATTCGGAATAATGTTCATTCATGATTTAATAATAGATTTCGTACAATTGAAAAATGGGAGGATCTAAAGATCATGCTCCTTAGATACCGTAATTATCAATTATTTAAATGAATTAAAAAAATTGACACTTTTTCCTCTCTTGAACTTAATAATATGGTGTCAAATTGCCATCTTACGGAAGATAATAGTTCCAGGGGAAGGGGCAAGTCTGTCACAGATCGTGCTCATTACACTCGCTTTCACCCTGACAAATCACCGTACAGTTCCAACTGCTCAATAACTAATCATTAACTTGTTTCAAATATTTCTTTGGCTAATCTAATTGCCGCTGTTAAGAAAATCGACGTATTTGGTCGGTTACACCAAAATTACTCAATCATAGAATTAATTATTCTAAAAAAATATTTTCAAACAAGAAAAAACGTATATTGGCAGCTATTTTCACAGTTTCATATTTATATATACATTTATATTTAGACCAGAAGAAGTATTTAATTATATAAATTTTTAAAGCCCCTTTGGTCGGTATTTTAATTGTTAAACTACGGGAGGAGAAAGTTTCTTTGACAATATGGAAATTTTTATACAAAATATAATATTTAGTGAATGACTCAAACACTACATTTTTGCATAATTTTTGCATAATTGATAAAAATCGACGTCGATGGAGATTTTTGGCCATATCTTCGGTACAAATGCTATAGGATGTGAAAATCACCAAAGGATGCAAACTAATGTGTGTTTTTATGAATGTTTGAAGATTTTACATAATCTACTCTTTAAAAGTGTTTAATTACAATAATTGTATCTGTAATTCTGCACTCTACTAATAATTATAATCGCTACAGTGCAGCACTGAAAAGTTTTCATATCTGTAATTAGCGTTTGTATCGACGGTATAATTTAATCAAATTGTATATAATGTTATATTATATTTTAATGTGTTACATTGCGATGTAACTAAAGTTGTGGTACTAATTAATACTAATCTAAAGTAAAATTTATCATTATTTAATTTATCAAAGTGTGATTTCCCTAGGATGAACCGTTTAGGAGTTAAGGGAGAAAAAAAAACAAAAAAATGTCATAAAAACGATTATCCAGAGCATCTGAAACTATATAAGTTTAAAACAATGAAAACTTTCACTATTTTGCAGGTAACATTATTTCCCTTAGCGGGGTAGCTCAGTGAGAGGGTATTGAGCTTCCAATGCTAAAGGTTCCAGGTTCGAATTCCAGCTCATGTCAGAAAATTATTAATTCTGTTTCATTGCCTGTGGGGCGACCCTGGGTAGGTAGACACTCCTGGGCACACCCAGCCTCTATAAAGTGGGTGCTCTTATTTAAAATAATTAATTAAGGGGAAAAACCTGGCAGTTGAGCGTGATCTCGGTCAAATCACCTCCTTGCACAACCGTAGACCAAGAAACAGTGCTTTGCCTAAATAGCACTAAACCCAAAACCTTTTATGGATTGTAGTGGCACAGGTAAAAATTAATTCCGTTTTGATGCTCAACGTTTTGCACTAATAATATTGAAATCAGTGATTTTGGAATGGTAAACAAGGTTCATTTTACTAAAAATAACAATAATTTTCGTAACTTACACTCAAACCTTGTCCTGCTAAGGTTTTCGTTTTTAGTTTCTGCCTCTTGGTTTAGGCTTAGTTTTGATTTTTTTCAAGGGTGTTTTAAATAAGTGTCATGGTTTAATATGAAATCTGTAGCATTTAAAAAAAAATGAAGATTGCTGGATGAACCATAAAATATGTTGATGTTTCGATTTTTGAAAATCAATTAGAAAATGAACTATATTACAATTAGGCAATAAACAATCAATGTTTTAAGCATTTATCGGCCATATAGATTTAACTCAATGGTTTTTAACATTGATATATCAGTATGTTTTTAAGTCATTGCCTGCGGGAGTTAATACAATTCTCGTTGTGGGCTACAAGACTTAATAAAGGTCTCAATATGGTCCTCAAGACAAAGTGGAGATCTCAATATGGTCTTCCAAACTGTTTGGGGATCCTTAATGTAGAACCTTGAACGTTCTTATTAATGTTTGTTTCCTTCTATTAATATGAACATGAAATAAAGTTTAAAAAATCTAAAACTGCTTCCACAATATTATTATAATAATTATAATCGAATCTGTATTTTTTTATGAGTGATAGAATTGACAGCTCTGGTTGTGTAACACTCCAGAGTCGTATTTTCCAGTGGGTGTCATTACATTTGTCTTGC